GTCAAGCTGGGGGCTTGCATTGATCGCGGTCGCATGATGCTGCATGGCCAATGGCCACATCTTCAAAGGAAGTCCTGATTGCAACAAGTTGCTCCGGGCACCTTCCAACATCTGACGAACTTCGCGCTCAGCAAAAGACTTTGATGAATCTACGTATTCAATGGAAGTCTGGTGTCTGTAACCCAAATCCTTGATGGCCCTGATCAATTCTGGGGAATTGTCAGTGTACACAACTTGAACATCATCCTTTGATCCAATGAAGTGATTCAAACCATCAACACAGCTTTGTGAGTCCTTGGACTGGCTAGGGTAGACATACCGATATTGGGTGTGCAGATCTTTCAACACCAACGCAACTTGCTCCCCCCTGAAACCCTCTTCTACATTTTTCTTGATGATGACATGATCCCCAATGATGTGGTCACCAAACACTTCAGTTTCGATTCTCTTCTGACCACCCTTCTTTCGTGCCTGAGGTGCCATCATCCTTGCTCGCTGGCAGGTTCTGCAAAAGGGGTTCTTGGGGAAATGCGTGTACTGATGTTGGGTACTTGCAGCTTCAGCCAACAGATCCTCAGTCTTGCGGCTTCGGATGTACTCCTGCTGAGCGTCATCCTCCACCAGTTCATCCAACTGCTCTTCATCTTGGGCTTCGTCCCGCTTGGCTTTTGAGCTCGACCGTGAGGTCGGCATTGCAAACAACTTTTTGAGGTGCTTATCCTTTTGAAATTGATCTTTGGGATAAACCTTGCAACTATCGTCCAAGATTGGGACATGACCTTCGATCTTGAGCTGGACGACCTTGTCATCTGGACGGACTAGATTGGTTTGCCGTTGGCAGGCCATACGAAACTGTAACCCTGATCTACACATCTCGTTCCTACAGAGAGCACAGCTGGGGTATGATCAAGCACATACGGATGCACGGGATCTGGCAATGCGGACAACTTGACATCAGCAACTTCGTTTGCCTCAGTCGAACCGTTGGCTGTGACTAAGGAAATCGGATGCTCGGCTGCACGGCAGTTCTTGGCACTTACATCCCTCAGCATTCCTTTGGACACAAGATCGGATTCACTACCTGAGTCAACAAGCCAACTAACGCCGGCCTTTGGCGCAGCTGTGGCAATTGACGGGAAACGACCAATGTCTCTAAGGGCTTTGGGACCGCTGATGAACCTGCACTCTTTGCATGTGATGTCACGTGTGTCCTCATCCCAACAACAAAACCCACAACTTGGTGCAACATCTGAATCATGAAGTTTCACAGTTTCTTGGAGCTGTCTTGCACGAACCTGAGCTTCATGCTGTTCAACCTTTGATGAAACTGGAACATCTTCAGCTGTCTTATACACCTTAGTGAACTCTCTTGGACGGTGCTTGACTGGGACTTGACGACCAACTGCCTTCACCTCGATCACATGTGGGGCCTTTCGGAATCTAAGGCGCTTCATGCTGACACTTGACTCATCAGAGCACGAAGTTGCCTTCGGCTGTTTTTGGACGATGCATGCAAACTTCTGGATCAGACATGGAGCGGCTGTGGAATCCTTGCCCTTCTTCTTGGGAGCGGGTGAATTGGCCCTTTTGGTGTCTTTGGTGGCGGCAGCGGCTTTGTCATCATGTTTATAAAAACATTTGTCACCACGTCTGCACTTTCCCTGGGCATGATAGATGCATGGGGTTTTAGCCATTTCTTCTTTAGACATCTTCTTCCCCTTATCATCCTTATTGCCCCTTGATGGTGAACGTGTTTTGGTTCTTCTGGGTGATTGAGTTCGAGATTTATCATCTTTGACATGCTTGAATGGACACTTCTTCCCCTTATCACAGGTACCCTTTTGGAACTTATAGCAAATCTTGTCACCTTTGCCACCTCGTTCCTGCGATCTACCGCGACTTGGAGAGCCCTTTCGGCCGCCGCGACCATCGCCTTTGGCGGGTGCGGCCTTTGTATCCTTAATCCCAGCCTTGTTCTTCTCCGCAATGCGGTTCCTGTTCTCCCTCAATCGTTCACGATCGATCAAGTTCTTCATGGATTGGTGAAGAAAACTGTAAGACTTTTCATGGGATTTCTCATGAGCACGGTCAAACACCTCGATGTCATATTTCAGCAACTGACTTGGTCGGATCTGCCTCAACAAGATGTCCCTTAACACAGCATCATCAGGGGTGACAGCCATGCCAGCTAGGGTAGCATCCCATTTGTTGATGAATCTTCGGAGATCCTGGACAGTATCGCCTACTTTGACAACACCCAAAAGATCTTCTACTCTGTAAAGGCTACCTGCTTCTTCTGATGTCTTGAAGTAGTCCTCAAACATAAGCAGAACATATCTTCCCCTGACCTGGATGCCTTTTCGGGATTGCTGCTCCTTGAAATTCAAGATCCTAGTTGCGAGGTCCCCTCCGGCTGAGCGCGTGAGCGCTGCTGATAACTTTGTATCCAGCGTGAGGAACTTTCCAGGATCTTGGAGTTTCTTCTCCAACTGCTCTCTGGTGCACTCTTGATCGTACACCTCGTTGAGCCAGAGCCACGCCTCATCCGGGCGATCTGAACAGCTTTTCACTTCATCCCTGACATGATTCTTCCAAGTTCTATATGACTCCGGAGCGGGCATGTTGTTCAGCTTGATGAGTTCAGCCTCCTTAGTTTTTGGCTTATCCTTTTCTTCCCTTTGGGTTAAGGCTTTCACCAATTCAATAAGATCTGAGGGACCCATGACTTGCTGTTGCTTGGTTGCGCTCTTAGGAGATTCATTTGGGGGAGTTTTGATAGCTTCAGTGGGAGTGAAAAACCCTGACTGCGTTGGCAATTGGGGCTGGTCGTTGCCGACAGCCGGCTTTTGCTTGGGACTGCCACCTTTGAGCAGCTCATCCAATTTGGCCTTTGCTTCCTGCGCCAACACTGCAGGCGTCTTAAACTCAAGAATCGGCTCATCACTGCCTCTGGCAGCCTGTGCATCGGATGCTTTGGGAGTGGCAATATTGAAGTGGGGCTCGCTAGTGGTAGCGGCCGGCTCGGCGTTCTGGACGGATGCTTTCGGAACGGAGGCATGCTGCGCTTTGGCAACATGCTTTAACTGCTCCTGAAGATCATCGATTTGGTCCTGAAGGCTAAGGTTCTGAGCCGCTGCCTCGTTGATCTTGTCGGCCATCTCCTTCTTGTAGTTCTCAAACTCAGTCCTCAAACTGATGAACCTGGCCTGATCAATTGCAGCCTGATCTTCATATTGCTTCTTTGTGGCAGCTATGGCATTCTTTGCATGTTCAACTGTCTGTGCATAGGAAGCTTCGAATTCACTAGTGATACGTTTCCTTTCCTCTGCAATTTTCTGATCATGCTTTGTGTTTGCCTCTGCCTTTACGTCCTCTATTCTTTTGTCATGCGATGCCTGAGCCTGATTCAACCTGACCTCCATCTCGTCGCCTCGTTTCCTCTCCTCGTTGAGGGCACTAATGGCATTACCTTCAACCTCCTGCAGCCTTTGCTCATACTCCTGCTCCTGCATTACGAGTCTACTTGACCATTCGTTTCGAATTGAGTCAACTACTCCATGCATTATCTGAAGGTGCCTCTGTTCAGCTTCCCTCATGACTTGCAGGGTATTCCCACTAGTAATCTGGGACAGGTTGTTTTGTATGAAGGTAAAGTACGCAACAACGGGTTGGAACATTGTTTCGTCATCCATCGGCTCGGGGTTGCCCCCGGCCATATTAGGCACAGCGACAGCCGATGGACCTGACCCTGGAACGGCGAGAGGATGGTCAATTGGGGTCCCCATAGCAAAGTAGTGAGACTACGGCTGATAACCTGTATTTTACCAGGTCAACCGACAATGGGGTGAAATACTAAGCTAACACCGTTAAGCACTCAGCTCTTTTGAACCAACGCTATCGGGCAGATCGATGATATATACAATACATGGTATTACTGCAGGAGTTTTTACCCTCTTTAGTTTTGCGATCAGGATCAACTTTGCGCTCTCAGAATACAGAAAAAGAAATGTCATACAGTTGTTTAAAATGTTTATATCAACTATATTCAGTACAGTTGCAGTTCTTCAAAGTGCTTCAGTAATTTCAGTATGTCCTGAAAAGAAAAATCTTTCGCAGCCAGGCACCCTGACGTTGTCCCACTTACTGCCGAGGTGCCATGTTGCCTTGAAGCTGCGCTTCGGAGAGGCGGAAATCTCGAGCGAAATCGTGCAGAACGTCTTGCCACATGGCGTTGAAATGCTGAGAAACTATGATAGTAATTTTCAATGTCATTCCATAGGGATGTTCATAGGCTCCTGCGGTGCCTAAGTCTATTTAAGAGATTTTAAGAGTATTTAAGAAACTTCAACGTTTGCTACCTCAGGAGGGTTCCGCCCTTCAGTCGAACGTGCTCTTCTGTCGACTGCTGAATTTCAGAGCCGAAACGCTGCATTGCGTCGTCGCCTTGTTTGCCAGTCAGAAAGTGCTGACAAGAGCCATCAGTAACGCTGTAGAACGTGTTTCTGAGTGTTTCTGTGATGCTTGGGAGTCTTGAACAATGTAACCAAACATTTGAAAAGGCCTAATTGATGTCATTGATGCTGTATTCCAAGGCACGATACACGTCAATTGCCCCTGCCGGTTTTTTATCCTCCTTTTGCCAGATCTCAGCTTCCGTTTCTGCCGTTTTGAGCACGGCAACGCCGCATCGCAAAATGTCCTTGTTCTGTCATTTCTCAGACACAGCTTGAATCGTCAACATCTGACTGCATATCCAGCAATCTAGTGATGATCTATCTAAGAATCTACTAGTACAACATAGTACAAAATAGTACAACTATAGTAACTGTTTCACAACTTTCAAGACATGCAGGTTGCCCATCAACCTCACAAACAGTATGCTACGCTGTGACATGACCCATGGCACCATGGCCCAGAGTTCGCGATTGGAACGACTCTGCACAGCCCCTGACCGTCCTGACCCTGGGCAGACCCTGGGGACCCTGGGCAACTCGGCGCGCTCACTTCAGCTGGCTCTCGATTTCCTTGGGATCCAGATCGGAAGATTCGGTGATCTGCAAAGCCTCAGACTGCAATGCCACAAGGCGATGGAACACATTGAAAAAACATTGAAACAACATTGAAACAACATGAAATAACAAAGAGCAATTGACTCTTGATATCTATTGAAACATAATGATACATATATATATGTTTGAAAAATATTGAGCGGTATTCTGACACCATGTGCCATTTGTCTCATGTGTCTGATAGGTCGTCTTCAACTTGTATCTAAACTTGTATCTATAGCTTGAACTCAAGCCAAGTGATGAAAAACAACTTGAGGAACACTTTGCGCGAAATCCGAATCGGACCGAATATGACCGCATGTATACATTTTAAAAAAGTGAGGTTTAGTTCTCCGGAAAGCCTTGTGAACGCCGTTCAACTTCTTGAGCAGGGCATCCTTGCTTGACGCGTAGGTCATCTTTGGTTTCACTCCGCAAGTGTCTGGAGACCACGCAATGAAGAGCAGCTTGTCCTGAGGGCGGCCATCCTCGGTCTTGTAGTGGTAATCGACAACTGCATAGCGTGGCTCATTCTCAGCAACTTCCTTGAGGGCTGCCATGAAGCTCTCGTAGGTTGCATCCTTGTCTCCCTCCCTCTCCTTCACAATCTGCTTGTCATCGATCTTGAAGATGATCCATTTCCTGTCGTGCTTCAACTTCATGTCATTGAAGAGAGAGACGCACTCATCAGTTGGGGTAATGCCGGAAGACATGTTCGAATTGCACAAGCGGAGACAACGCCTATGGTCTACCGGGCTCTTGACACAAAGACGGCTTCGGAGAAGGGCAAACCCGTAAGATCCCGTAAGCACATGGCATACGGTGAAAATCATCACCTACCATTTCGTCTTACTCATGCGCATCTTTGTATATCTTGAAGTGCTCATTTCTCAACAATCAGTGCATCACTGCATCACTCATTGCGGCTTCCGCTCCCCTCATCACCTACATTATCTACATTCACTGATACATCCCGACATCCCGCACAGTTTGAAGTTGACTGTTTTTTCTTGGCAGCGCTGCGAGTTCTGCCTGCCGGGCCAATGTTTCAATTTGGAAATGACATCCGTCAAGCAGTGAAAAATGAAAAAACATCTGCCGACCTCCACCGCAGCAACATTGGCAAACAAAGGTGGAGCAAGGTTGAACTGCTCGGCTGCCAGCGAAGCGTCAAGAACGCCACGGTAGCTGGAGACATTCGGAGGAACCTGCTACGCACAATTCGTAGCATACCACATGCGTCAAAAAGTATGCTGGTTTCGTGTGGTTTCTGATGGTTTCTGATGATTTCTGATGTTTTCTGTATCTTTGGGATGCATCTCCTTCTCCTTTGTCTGTTCGTCTTCGGAGTTTGCCTCATTCAGTGCCCTCGTCCCAGCACCTCTGCAGATTGCATGTCCTTCAGCAAGGCCAATGCGCCGCGCCAGTGGCAACTGCTGATGGCTGCGCTGTAACCTGGGAAAAAACGTGGGAAAAAACTCCCATCGGATCCGTCGGCTCCATCGGCGATCATCGGCAGTCAATGATGTCAATGTAGTCTGGTCTTCTGGCTTCAAATATCTTCAATACGTCTAACATCGTCCGTCTAACATCGTCTAACTTTCAAATGGATAAAGATTGATGGCTGGATGCGGATGCTAAAGGGTGGGACTTGATGTTTCCAAATTTTCCAAGGCACTGGAGACATCCGGCGGAACTTCAGTGGCACGCATCAACGATAGCAGCTGGAGTGCCTGCCATCTCACTATGTCCGATGTCTGTGTCCAGTATTCGTGTGCGTCAAAGTATGAACACTGAACGCTATGAACCACAAACGAATTCTAGTGATTCATAGATTGGTTTACTGCTGGAAGCACTTGTCTGCCAGAAACAATTCGCTCAATTTGTTTCAATGATAAGTGTGGAATGTTTCACATATATATTTTCACATCGTCACCATCTTGTTTGAATCTTGCTTGCTGATGCCTGGGGCCAGCGACCAGCATCATGGCAGGCTGCGATTGCCTCGTATCACAGCATCCTGCTTTACGGACATTGACATGTCACGATAATTACGTAGAGATTACGTAGAGAAAGCCTCAAAAGACTGGCCGTCTCTGTCTGACTGATTTCAGTGACTCTGACTTGTTCCGACTTGTTCCGAGGTACCGAATTGTACGTGGCTGTGTTGGGACTGACTTCCTTCAGGCTCATTTCGTGCAGCAAATGCAAAGCCACTTTCCACCTCGGAGTCCGCAATATGCTATTCGGTTCGCAGCGAATACCGAAAAACTTATCGAAAACTTCAAATACTTAATCAAGTTTCATGATCTATCTTCTTGCTGATTTCGGAGATGGCCAAATAGCCTGTTCATTGGCTGTTCATGATACCTTGATGTGAAGAAAGGGTCGACCGATGGTCGACCGACTAGCCAAGCTGGACATATCGCAGTGTTTCTTTAAGCGATGCGTGCGGCAAGTGCCGCAAGTGCGGCAAGTGACTCGCTGACATTGTGACAGGCACTGATGGCAGCCGTGTAGGTCACAACCTGATGCTCAAGTCAAAGGTGCTTCCAGTGGTTCATGTTGATTGGCCATCTAGCATCTATCATCTTCAAGAGCTTGGAGAGTTTCTTCAAATTCTATTCTCCCAAATTGGAACAGCTATCAGCCATGGTCGACCCAATCAGCTTAGCTTTTGCAGAATCAGAAAAAAAATGAATGACAAGTCTCAAGTATAAGGATTGGTTATGAGAATAGTCATAGATTGGTGATTTCATCATAATATATATATATATATTAATATATAATATATATAATAATTATAATATATTATAATCACGATATCATTTGGCCGGGCCATCCAAAAACAGGACGCCACTGAGTCCCAGGACGTTGGGTGGAACCCCTCGAGGCATCGAGGCTAAGAGTTGCAGGGAAAACCGCCACAAGCTCTGTTGGGTGCAGGCACCTGCCGGACAGAAAGGACCAAAAAAAGGTCGTCAGATGTCGTCAGATGTCGTCAGATCTTCCATGGAAACCGCCAGTTTCTCGAGGTCTGTTTTAATGGAAACCAAAATTTGTCTGTTTTAATGGAAGCTTCCAGATATTCTAAGCAGTGGATTTGCTACCCATTACACATAATTACTAATTACACTATGTTTCTCTTGAAACTTAAGCTCAGATCAACAAAATGGTCAGGTTCCGAATCCAACGGTCCCATTTCTAGGGTACGTGGCCGGTATCCTCCATGGTATAGGGCATGTTGAAACGAAGGCGGAAAAATGCGAATACTATGGAATCAATCCTGATATGTGCTTTTTTTACTTCCTGTGTAGTGAGCTGTTGGGACATACCTGATACATACCTGATACATACCTGATACATACCTGATACATACCTGACATACCTGATGCCAAGATTATTAAGAGATTTATAAGATGTTCAGCTGAAGAATTCAATAATTCCAGTCGAGAGTCTGATGGCGCTGCCAAAGCTGAAGACATCTGGTGAAGGCATGGTAAACAGCAGCTGCAAAGACAGCTCCTAGAGGAATCAACAGGGCAGGAAGAGATATACAGTAGAACATATCCAAACTCTGCGCAACCTCTTATCGCTGCAAACCTACATTGAACTACTTAGTTGGTGGACTTCCATGTTGAATGTTCCTGTAGCTTAGCCTCTCATTTCGGCAGATTTCCCTTTGCTTTTCACAATGCGTTTCACAATCTATGTGACAAAAAAAACCTGTCCTGTTTCCTTTCACCAGAAAAATGAGAGAACTTTGAGAATGTACCTCCGGAACCCCCAAACCCCCCAGCTGTGAGACTTGGTGACAAGCTTCCCAGTTGCCAGCGCTACAGGCATCGATCACAGCATTGTAGGTCACTGTCGAAGGAGGCAGTTTAACCTGCACTACTTCACCATCTCTGTGTCTTTACCATCTTTGGATCCGACGTATCATCATCTATCATGTTGGGAAACAATTACTAGCTCCTTAGCTACCCATTTTACACGGCAATATTGTTACCTATAGCCTATAGCTCCTTAGCTTTTTGAATGCTTATTATTTCCCTCCTAACCATCCTAACCATCCTAAGCATTGGATAGTTACGGATAGTTGGTGAAGATAGTGAAAAATCATGAAACAATCTGCCAAGATCTGCCATCAACTGGGATATTCCCATCTTTTGGTCAGGGATTGAAACGGTGCACCGATGCCTCTTTCATCTCCGAGAAGAGATGGATGGACAAGGTCCAGTGCTGCCCGCAGCAACTGATGACGGCGTTGTAGGTCACCTAACAAATCCCATCCATCCGGCACAAAACAACACGAAATCTGCAGGATCAGTTGGTATCGCGGCTGGTATCGCCGTATCGCAATGTTGTCACATAGATTCACATAGCATATATGATGCATATATGATGCCTAATATGTGTGTTTTGCACTGCTCACCAAGGCACAGTTTCAGGTCGGATGCGCATGGTTTGGCACTGCCAAAAAAGCGCCAGGGCTCGCTGCCAATTCGAACGACACGATGTCATTGCCTCGCCAGCAACAGCATCAACGGTGCATCAACAGCTGACCCCCCTGGCTGCCCTGGCTGAACATGAATTGATCTGTTGAATTTCAACTTGAATCATGTTATATAAGTTATATATCATGTTGAATCGATGTTCATGATGATGCTACAAACTGTCGAGAAATGACGTCGATTTTTCACCGGGAGGCTGCGTTGTAACAAACGATGTCTGGGAGAATCTGCTGGAGAAACATGGAGTCCAACACATGGACCGCAAGCTCCCAGCTGGCGCTGGAAATCACTGCGCCAAAGCCTTGGAGAATTGGAGAACATTGGCGATGGCTGCATATTTTCAAGGCGTCAACAGCATCCACAAATCCATGGCAGGATAGCTCCTCCAACCAACCATTCCAACCTTTGGCAGCCCAAATGGCACTGTCAAGATCTGTCAAGATCTGTCAAGATCTGTCAAGATCCATCAAGGCAAGGAGCTAATGACATCTGCCTCAATGGTCTCTGTCTGCATGGTGAACAGAAGTTGCAAAGCATCCTGCCACTTTTGACCTCTCGAGTTGACCAATGGCTTCCCAAAACAGGGGGATCCCCAATACTATGGCTTTACGAATATGGTCTAATTTGGGATGATTTAGGGGGGAATACTGCAGATACCTCCATTTTGGGAAACCCCCAAATTGCTTATCAGTGATGTGAGACTGCGGTGTAATTATGGTAAAACTATGGTAATTTATGGTAAACTATGGTAAATTATGGCAAACTATGGTAGATTATGGTAAACTATGGTAGATTATGGTAAACTATCTTCCCTGTCCCAGGTCATGGGTGTTTTTATGACTGGCTGGTGTCAGTGCTTCACCAAGATATGTCGCTGAGGCTGGTGCATGCTGACATGACAGAGTTGTACGTTATGACCTCAAGTCTGACCAGCTGAACCCAGGAATTCTCTCTATCCTCTTGTCAAAGCTAGAAACAAACTGTCACCATGAATAATCTATATAGTAATCTATACTAGATAATCTATAAGAATCTATCATCTATAATAATCTATAATAATCTATAATCTATCATAATCTATATTAATAAAGGAACTCACATCAAAAATGGTCTTCTGCCTGCTACCTTGCTGGTGATCCATCCACTAGCCCGAGGCAAGCACGGTGGGCTGTAGTTGGTTCTCCTTCATCGAACGCAGCAGCTCCAAGCTGAGGTTCCATTGATCGCCAGTCTCCTTAGTTACTTTCTGTTACTCAGATTATCTCAGATTATCTCAGATTATCTCAGATTATCTCAGATTATCTCAGATTATCTCAGATTATCTCAGATTATCTCAGATTATCTCAGATTATCTCAGATTGCTCTATCTTGAGAACAAGAAAGATTTGAGGAGTGTTTGTCTTCACCAGTTGTGGTATTCTGGCATTCAGCACAAGATTCGGCATTCAAACTTCAAACAAAATATGGCTATGGGTCAAAACCCTGGTAGCCTGGTGAACCCCCAAGGTAGCTGGGATTTATGGATGTTCATCCGATGCAACCGCTGTGATTCGTAGGCTTTAACCATGGTTTAACCATGTTTAACCCATCCCCATATGGATCTGTACCACTAAGCCGTGGACACAAGCCGTGATCACCGAGTTGTAGCTGATGGCATCCTGCTGAATTCTGGCTTCACTCATCTTCATGAGGACCTCCACGGCCAAGTGCCATTCACCACCCAGGGAACATGCGTTGATAGCTCCACTAAAGCCTCGTTGGAAAAAAGAGATCAGCAGCCAGATACGCCAGATAGATCAGATAGATAGTCAACGGCGGTTGCAAAAATCATGAGATTCAATGAGATCCATCTGAGTTTCAGCCGAGTTGAGAAACACTGTGAGTTGAGAAACCGGTTTAAGGCAACACTGATTGCTCTTACCAAGGAAAAACTGGTCGATGTCCAAGTGTCGATAGCCATCAATAATAAAGTCATTGAATGTCATTGACCTTGCTACAATCCAATATTGGATAATGCCATCAACATGAATCAACATAAGAATCAATCATCCAATTCATAAGCCATTCAATCCCATTAAATCCCCTACCAATAATCAACAATTAGATTAATCGCAATATTATGGAGTTATACTAATTCATATAACCCAACCCATGAATTTCCATATCCCATAAGCATCCAATGCTGCCAGGCAGCTGATCACATCTGGCGAGCCGCCGATCTGCAGTAGATGCAGCGCCACCGGCCATGCACCGACCTTGGCACAGCAGTTGATGGCAGAGTTGATGACCACCTGAGCGACATGGGAACAAAACATCTGGGAAAAACGAAGCGATATGCTTGATATTTGATGATTTTTTGGATGGAAGAAAGGTTGAAACATGGTTAAACATGATGTTAGTAGGTCTGCTGATGCTTCTCTTAAAGATGATCTTTCGGTGCACATCGTCCAAAACGTTTGGAGTCTTGGAAAGACGTTTTGACCAACTTTTGGAAGTTCATAAGGATTTAGATGTGGTGTTATGTATCACAACATATCACAACAGTTTACAATTCCTAGATAAGGAACACAGCAATACCATCGAAAACAAAAAACGGAAAAAAAGAGATTTCACGAGTACTGATGAAGAACCCAGCAGAGAATGACCGATTTCATGATCCAAAGATATCCAAAGTTGGTATGCCAAAGTCGGTCAGGTCGCAGTATTTGCTGCGCCAGATTTTCTGGCGCGCTCCAACAGCGCAATGGCCTGGGGCCAAGTGCCCATGGCATTCATCGCAGCACCAAAGTGAAAGGCCTCAGTCATCTAAACTCAGCCACCGTCCCTGGTCTTGTTGCCTTTAGGATCAAAAATTTATGGGAAAATCACAGAAAATCTAAACACATTGCAATTTCTCCCAAATCAAGCCCAAATATTAGAAGGGTGGAAGATTTCAAACATCTAGTACATCTAGTGCTCCAACCTTCATGACCAACATCATTTTTTTGAATCACAAAAATGTAGATCTGGAATAAACATAAGATTGGGTTGAAAGTGGTAGAGATGTCTGAGACGTCCTGAGGTAGCGACGTTGGTTTCCAACTGCTGAAGCTGCATGGCTTCCTCGAAAGAATCTGTCCAAAATGGTGTATCCAAAAGTCATTTCATTGTGTACCTGTCTATGTTCGAACATGAAAAACATGCTGATGCACAATTTCACATGAATACATGTGGTGATCTAAAAAAAGGTCGATGCATCAATGACTGTGTTATTCGCATATATGGAAAAAATGGTTAGTTTCTTGATATTATCCGATATTATTCGATTATTCAAGAAAAGGCATCAACTTCGTATCATGACTTTCAGCAAGAAACATCCTGCGCTAAACTGTTGAAACTGTCGAAACTGTCGAAACTGTCGGCCAAAGTGGCGAGGACGTTCCACGACGTTCTCCCGCGCTTGGCCTGGATCTGGCATCCCCATAGCTAAACTCCAACCCTGTGAAGTTGATCTCCAAAAATATGACTAAAAGATGGCTAAAGCCAAATTTCAACTAATATGTAATGATATATACTATATGAATCTTCAATCTGCAACCCATAAAGCAACCCATAAAGCAACCCATAAATCCCAATAAATCCTATTAGTATGATCATTATATGACCATTAAATGGACATCGACTAGATGGGTACAGCTTCAGCCATGGGCCTTGGCCAAACCACTTAAGACCTGCGTGGCCAGGCGCGGGTCCCAACCTTGCAGTGCCTCGGTGTTCGCACCAACTTTCAAGAGGACCATGTGTCCATATGTGTCCAATAAATAAACATATTAATCCCCATTAAGATCATAAAAGATAGGGGAAATAAGCCTATTTTTTTCCCGTATTTATTTCCCTGTTTATTCCCTATTTATTTCCCTATTTTTTCCCTATTTATTTCCCTATTTATTCCCCTATTTTTCCCGAGAGCGTCTGAGCGCAGGGTTCTTCCAATAGTAGGGGTCTGTATCTCATCTTCTCATCTTCACATCTTCTCATCTTCACATCTTCTCATCTTCACATCTTCTCATCTTCACATCTTCTCATCTTCACACCTTCTCATATTCACATCTTCTCATCTTCACATCTTCTCATCTTCACATCTTCTCATCCTCACATCTTCACATCTTCTCATCTTCACATCTTCTCATCTTCACACCTTCTCATCTTCACATCTTCTCATCTTCACATCTTCTCATCTTCACATCTTCTCATCCTCACATCTTCACATCTTCACATCCTCAGATCTTCACATCTTCTCCTCTTGCCCTCTTGCCCTCTTGCCCTCTTCTTCACATCTTCTCATCCTCACATCCTCACATCTTCTCATCTTCACCATCTTCACATCTTCTCATCTTCACATCTTCTCTTCTTCACATCTTCTCATCCTCACATCCTCACATCTTCACATCTTCTCCTCTTGCCCTCTTGCCCTCTTGCCCCTCTTGCCCTCTCCTTCTTTTCTATTTCTCTTCTGAAGGCGGGGGAAGGGGCCCTTTCGCACGAAATGAGGTTCGATCGTCAGAAACTGAGGTAAAATTGCGATTTGAAGGTGTCCCGCGCAACCTTTACGCACGAAACGAGGTTCGATCGCCAAAAACTGAGGTAAAATTGCGATTTGAAGGTGTCCCGCGCAACCTTTCGCACGAAATGAGGTTCGATCGTCAGAAACTGAGGTAAAATTGCGATTTGAAGGTGTCCCGCGCAACCTTTACGCACGAAACGAGGTTCGATCGCCAAAAACTGAGGTAAAATTGCGATTTGAAGGTGTCCCGCGCAACCTTTCGCACGAAACGAGGTTCGATCGCCAAAAACTGAGGTAAAATTGCGATTTGAAGGTGTCCCGCGCAACCTTTCGCACGAAATGAGGTTCGATCGTCAGAAACTGAGGTAAAATTGCGATTTGAAGGTGTCCCGCGCAACCTTTACGCACGAAACGAGGTTCGATCGCCAAAAACTGAGGTAAAATTGCGATTTGAAGGTGTCCCGCGCAACCTTTCGCACGAAACGAGGTTCGATCGTCAAAAACTGAGGTAAAATTGCGATTTCAAGTTGTCCCGCGCAATCCTTTCGTGTGTAAAAGTGTTAATGTGTAAAAGCGTCTGTGTGTAAAAGCGTCTGTGTGTAAAAGCGTCTGTGTGTAAAAGCGTCTATGTGTAAAAGTGTTGGTGTGTAAAAGCGTCTGTGTGTAAAACTTTTGTGTGCAAAAGTGTCTGTGTGTAAAAGAATTTGTGTGTAAAGACGTTTGTGTGTGAGAGCGTCTGTGTGTGCGCAAGCGTCTGTGTGTAACTGTGTGTGTGCAAGCGTCTGTGTGTAAAAGCTTTTGTGTGCAAAAGTGTCTGTGTGTCAAAGTGTTTGTGTGTAAAAGCGTCTGTGTGTAAAAGCTTTTGTGTGCAAAAGTGTCTGTGTGTAAAAGTGTTTCTGTGTAAAGGCGTTTGTGTGTGAGAGCGTCTGTGTGTGTGTGTGCAAGCGTCTGTGTGTAACTGTGTGTGTGCAAGCGTCTGTGTGTAAAAGCTTTGTGTGCAAAAGTGTCTGTGTGTCAAAGTGTTTGTGTAAAATCGTCTGTGCGTAAAAGCTTTTGTGCAAAAGTGTCTGTGTGTCAGTGTGTGTGTGTGTAAAAGCGTCTGTGTGTAAAAGCGTCTGTGTGTAAAGGCGTCTGTGTGTAAAAGGGTTTGTGTGTAAAGGCGTTTGTGTGTGAAAGCGTCTGTGTGTGTGTGCAAGCGTCTGTGTGTAAAAGCTTGTGTGTGTGCAAAAGTGTCTGTGTGTCAAAGTGTGTGTGTGTGTGTGTGTGAAAAAGCGTCTGTGTGTAAAAGCGTCTGTGTGTAAAAGCGTCTGTGTGTAAACGCGTCTTTGTGTAAAAGCGTCTGTGTGTAAAGGCGTCTGTGTGTAAAAGCGTCTGTGTGTAAAAGTGTTAGTGTGTAAAAGCGTCTGTGTGTAAAAACTTTTGTGTGCAAAAGTGCCTGTGTGTCAAAGTGTTTGTGTGTAAAAGCGTCTGTGTGTAAAAGCGTCTTTGTGTAAAAGCGTCTGTGTGTAAAAGCGTCTGTGTGTAAAAGCGTCTGTGTGTAAAAGTCTTAGTGTGTAAAAGCGTGTGTGTGTGTGTAAAAGCTTTTCTGTGTAAAAGTGTCTGTGCGTAAAAGTGTTTGTGTGTAAAGACGTTTGTGTGTGAAAGCGTCTGTGTGTGTGCAAGCGTCTGTGTGTAACTGTGTGTGTGCAAGCGTCTGTGTGTAAAAGCTTTTGTGTGCAAAGGTGTCTGTGTGTCAAAGTGTTTGTGTGTAAAAGCGTCTGTGTGTAAAAGCTTTTGTGTGCAAAAGTGTCTGTGTGTCAAAGTGTTTGTGTGTAAAAGTGTCTGTGTGTAAAAGCGTCTGTGTGTAAAAGTGTCTGTGTGTAAACGCGTCTGTGTGTAAAAGCGTCTGTGTGTAAAAGTGTCTGTGTGTAAAAGTGCTTGTGTAAGAGCGTCTGTGTGTAAAAGCTTCTGTCTGTAAAAGCTTCTGTGGGTAAAAGCTTTGTGTGTAAAAGCGTCTGTGTAAAAGCAACTGTGTGCAAAAGCGTCTGTGTGTAAAACTGTCTGTATGTAAAAGCGCCTGTGTGTAAAAGTGTCTGTGTGTAAAAGTGCCTTGTGTGTAAAAGCGTCTGTGTGTAAAAGTGTCTGTGTGTAAAAGCACCTGCCTGTAAAAGCTTCTCTGTGTAAGGGGTTCTCTGTGTAAAAGCTTGCTCTGTGTAAAAGCTTGCTCTGTGTAAAAGCTTGCTCTGTGTAAAAGCTTCTGTGCGTAAAAGTGTTTGCGATGCAAACTATTGTCTTGTACTTATGCTATATTGTCTTTAATATGGTGTCTCCATACTAACAAGAGAAGACCCTGCTCCTCTACGCTCTCGGGCCATCCGTCGTCTAGTTTCCCTATTTAGTTCCCTATTTATTTCCCTATTTATTTCCCTATTTTTTCCCTATTTATTCCCCTTTATATTTCCCTATTTTTTCCCTATTTATTTCCCTATTTATTTCCCTATTTTTTTCCCTATTTTTCCCGTATTTATTTCCCTATTTATTTCCCTATATATTTCCCTATTTTTTTCCCTAGTTATGTCCCTATTTATGTCCCTATTTTTTGCCTATTTATGTCCCTATTTATTTCCCTATTTCTTTCCCTATTTCTTTCCCTAGTTTTTCCCTATTTGTTTCCCTATTTTTTTCCTTATTTTTTTCCCTATTTATTTCCCTATTTATTCCCTATTTATTTCCCCATTTATTCCCCTATTAATTCCCTATTTATTTCCCTATTTTTTCCCTATTTATTCCCCTTTATATTTCCCTATTTTTTCCCTATTTATTTCCCTATTTATTCCCCTATTTATTTCCCTATTTATTCCCCTATTTATTTCCCTATTTTTTTCCTTATTTTTCCCGTATTTATTTCCCTATTTTTTTCCCTATTTTTCCCGTATTTATTTCCCGATTTTTTTCCTTATTTTTCTCGTATTTATTTCCCTATTTTTTCCCTATTTATTTCCCTATTTATTTCCCTATTTATTTCCCTATTTTTTTCCTTATTTTTCCCGTATTTATTTCCCTATTTTTTTCCCTATTTTTCCCGTATTTATTTCCCTATTTTTTTCCCAATTTATTTCCCGTATTTATTCCCCTATTTATTTCCCTATTTTTTTCCTTATTTTTTTCCCTATTTATTTCCCTATTTATTCCCTATTTATTTCCCCATTTATTCCCCTATTAATTCCCTATTTATTTCCCTATTTTTGCCCTATTTATTCCCCTTTATATTTCCCTATTTTTTCCCTATTTTTTTCCCTATTTATTTCCCTATTTAGTTCCCTATTTATTTCCCTATGTTTTCCCTATTTATTTCCCTATTTATTTCCCTATTTTTTTCCTATTTATTTCCCTATTTATTTCCCAATTATTCAACTATTTATTTCCCTATTTATTCCCCTATTTATTTCCCTATTTCCTTCCTTATTTTTCCCGTATTTATTTCCCTATTTTTTCCCTATTTTTCCCGTATTTATTTCCCTATTTTTTCCCCTATTTATTTCCCTATTTATTCCCCTATTTATTTCCCTATTTTTTTCCTTATTTTTCCCGTATTTATTTCCCTTTTTTTTTCCCTTTTTTTTACCGTATTTATTTCCCTATTTAGTTCCCTATTTATTTCCCTATTTATTTCCCTATTTATTCCCCTATTTATTTCCCTATTTTTTTCCTTATTTTTCCCGTATTTATTTCCCTATTTATTCCCCTATTTTTGCCCTATTTTTTTCCTTATTTTTCCCTATTTATTTCCCTATATATTTCCCTATTTTTTTCCCTAGTTATGTCCCTATTTATGTCCCTATTTTTTGCCTATTTATGTCCCTATTTATTTCCCTATTTCTTTCCCTATTTCTTTCCCTAGTTTTTCCCTATTTGTTTCCATATTTTTTGCCTTATTTTTTTCCCTATTTATTTCCCTATTTATTCCCTATTTATTTCCCCATTTATTCCCCTATTAATTCCCTATTTATTTCCCAATTTATTTCCCTATTTATTCCCCTATTTATTTCCCTATTTTTTTCCTTATTTTTCCCGTATTTATTTCCCTATTTATTTCCCTATTTATTCCCCTTTTTTTTCCCTGTTTATTTCCCTATTTTTTTCCCTATTTATTCCCCTATTTATTTCCCTATGTTTTTCCTTATTTTTCCCGTATTTATTTCCCTATTTTTTTCCCTATTTTTC